GCTCGGGCCCGCGGTGGCTCCTATTTTGGTGCCCCGGCTGCTCCCCAGCCTCCGCGCGAACAGCCCCCCGCGCAGCCTGAGCGGGGCCACTCGCAGGAACTCCCCCTCCCCCGGCAGCGCAGCGCGGGGCGGGGCGGGGTGGCAGGCGCGCGGCTGCAGCCCTTCCCGGGGTTCCCCCGCAGCAGGTGGGGGCGCTGTCCTGCGTCCTCCTGGGTCGCCGGCCTGCTCCTCTTCCCTTGAAGTCTGTATGTCTGTCTCAGTCTCTGTGGAGCGTCTTCTCTTAGAACAACTCAGTGGGTCCTGAATTAAGACCATATATGGGGGATATGTGTACTTATTCCTCCCTCAGTAGCGCGTCTGCCCGGTCTCTGGGGAGAGAGGAGAAAGTGTGCAGATAAAGCAGAACTCAGGCCCGGGACTGCAGCTCCCTTAGAAATGCTAGAAGTGGCCCCCACTTTCCCACAAATGGCCTCCCACTCCCAGCAGAGCACTCGGGAGGAAGCCTCTGGAGCTGATGGGCACTTGGCGGGTTGACCTGGAAGTGTAGAGAAAATCTGAGGGCGGCCAGGCCTCAGGCTAAGTCCACCCTGGGGAGAGCCCACCATTTAGGACATAGCTGGAAGGAGTAGCCTAGCCTGCAGCCTTTCTGGTGACACCCGCCTGTTCACTTAAAGATGTCCACATGCCACACCAGAACGTTCATTTTGCTTGTTCCAACAGAAGCTAATATCAAATATTTTCATTTATCATCCATTCCTTCATTGCAAGATGTTAGGTGCTTTATGAGTACCTGATACGAGACCAGTACTAATGCACTAGTCCTGGACTGTAGAAAGGAGGTCCAGAGCGCTCTTGGAGCATACACTCTAGCTGCCTTAAGGGAGCAGTCAGGACGAAACCTCGCCAGAAACCCAGTGTGTTTCTCAGAGTGCGGCCTGAGAGGCAGACTACACAGATAGACAATGTTCACGGCATATGACGACATAACTCTGAACCACGTAAGTCTAGGAAGCCAAACCACAAACTCTGCAGTAATTGGACCACAACAGTCAGGACACCCGTGGACAACTGCCAACTTCCCTATTTTTACCCTGCTTCCACCTCAGGACCAACCAGAGAAAGCCAAATATGTTCCCCAAACCAATCAGATAAAATACACCCCCACCCCCCAGTAGCCCTCCTCCAGCTTTTCCATGCCAGTGACTTCCAATCAGAGGATACCTAGGGCTTTGCTTTTTTCAGTTTTTAAAGCTTTCCCACTCCCCGGCCTACCTCTTGAGCCTCTGCAAGGGCAAGTGATGGTGACAGGCTCTTGCTACAGCAAGCTCCGACTAAACAGCACCTGTTTGTTCTCTTTTGGGTGCTTTTAGTTAAATTCCACATATCAGATCATCCTCATTGGATTCTGTGGGCTGCTGGTTATGCAGCACCCCACTGCCACCACCACCCAGATTTCTCAAGGGAGGAGACCTAGGAATCTGCGTTCTAACCAAGGGCAGCTGGTGATTCTTCTACAGTTATTACAATGTGTGTTGGATCTGAAATGAAAGGAAAACAAAAGTTTTGACATTTCCACGTCTGATAAACAGTTTAGTAGAGGAGAACAAATGAGATTAATTTCAGGTCCGAGCTTCATTTCTTCCACTTATCTCACATGCGTAATTGCTAAACTTCTCTGATGCTTACTTTTCTGACCTATAAAAGACAGAGGAAGGGGCCAGTAGAGGGTGTGAAGGTTAAGGCCACTAGATCCTGCATGACTGACCTCACAGTTTAAGCTGTGAACCTAACAGCTTGAACATCTCTCCAGGCACAGGTGTGTGCATGCCCAGTTCCCCAGAGAAGAGACAAGAAGGGTGTGGCCATCATCTCTGGGGGATGATTTATCAATTTCTCTCCCTCTTTCTCTCTGTCTGTCTTCAGAGAGGGCACATACCCTATAGCAAACTGAAAAGCAAAAAACAAAAAACACACAGATGATATAAATATTTTCTCAACCTGATCCAGCAGGTGGCATGGTGGTTGAGGCAATGGGTTCCCACATGACTGGGTTTGAATACTGGACTTGATGACTTGAAAATCACACATCACATGTGTGTGCATGCCCAAAATTCCAGGAGGAGAATAAAGACAGGATTGAGGTGTGGCATCTCCCTTGCGGGGGGCGGGGTGATTTCTCACTTTCCCTCACACTGTCTCTCTGGCAAGTACACATACCCTATGGCAGAAACAAACAAACAAACAAACAAACAAAACACAAGAAAACAAACAAACAAACAAAAAAAAAATTTCTCAAACTAGCATAAAGTTACTGGAAAAAATAAAATTACAAATGTAAAAACACTCAGGATGTGGTACATGAAAGATAGTTTTTTATTTGTTTGTTTTTAGGTTTTTGTTATAGAGTACATGTGCTTGCCAGAGAGAAAGAAAGACAGTGAGAGAGAAAAGAGAAATCATCTCTGAGAAGGGATGACTCTGTCACAATCCCCTCTCCTCCTGGGATTTTGGGCACGCATGCACACACACACACACACACACACACACACACACACCCGTTGTGATTTTCAAGCCACTGGGTTCAGGACTCGAACAATGTTCAACCATGTGGGAGTCCAGCATCTTAACCACTACACCACTTGCTGGCTCCAAAAGTTAGTTATTTCAATGAAGGAATATTTACATTATTTTTCCATTGCAACCTCAATTTGAAAATTAGAATCGTATTAACATTTCTTCAAGAAATTTTGAACTTTGTAGTTAATTGTAATTATATAGTTCATCCTTTATAACTGATAGTGATGCTATTGTTGGTGTTGCCATTAAGAGACACAGTAGTGACTGATTGACGATAGGGCATTCTTTCCATTTTTGTCACTGAAGCATAGAAATGGCTATTTGTGGGAATAATTGCCAAGTTTGACATATAGAAAACATTATAGGCTGCACCTAACTTATTGTAGGGTTTCCTAGAATCACTAACTCCATTTATTAAATGATTCTTGGGTAATAGAATTCACCATATTGTCATTTGTGCAGAGTTATTTCAGAGTGCTCCACGGGCCAATTAAAGTTTCTGCTTCCACTGCCTGGTTTTGAATGAATCCTTAGAAGTGTTCATGAGCTGGACCGTTAGACTTCTTCATCTTGCCAAGAGAATGGCCAGTCCTAAAGGGACTGGGGGTTAGTTGCTCCGTATCACGTTTTATCAGAGACCACTGCAAATGCTCGTAGATTTGATGCACTCAGAAATATACAATTAGCATTCATAAGTTAAATAAATTAATGACACTGTTCAAATAAAATAGATATGCTTAATTCCAAGCCTTTTTTTTGTAAAACCAGGCCAGTTTAATGTTTTTGTACAATTTAATAAATAATCTTTTGATGACTGCAGACATGTAAG